GTCAGTTAGAGTGTCCATGCTAAATGAGGCTAATAGAGTGGGCTGTAAATGCCCAATATTTAACGTGTAATGTCATTAAGATGTTGAATGTAGCAGCCAATTCAAGTAAGGTCTTTGTTCAGACTTCGATTAAAGATATCAAATTTGCAGATTAAGGCAATTTCTGCAGCTTCTCTTTCCAGCTATTTACTTGGAACTCTGGATCCTTTGCTCCATTCATCTGAAGAAATGGTTGTGCCCATGAAAGTTCATGATACCATCTACGTTTTTGTTAGTCTCTCGGTACATCTACACAGCAGTGTTATTTTGGAATAACTGACATTATTTGGAAATAATGTCGAGATGGAGGACTTCTTACTCCGACTCCACTAACCCTCATTTTATGAGGAATAAGAGAAGTCTAAGGAAGAGTGTTCTTCCTTTGACTTCCTGATGTGTAGACAGTGCTAAAAGCCAAATTAAGCTAATTTAGACTTCAGCTACTCAGTTGACATAGATGAAGTTGTGTATCTTAATTCGACTTTTGCCCTGCTGTGTAGACATACCCTAAGGTGCTGCAGGACCATTTGTTGTTTTTTAAGTTTTTTCTGTTACAAACTAACATGGCTATCCCTCTGAGACTGTTCTAGGGATGTGTATGGGAAACTAGTTAGCTGGTAAGCTGGTAACATTAATGGGTGAGGCTTACCGGTTCTAGTTAACTTGTAGAGACTGGAGCAGTTCCATGCTCATCACAGACAGGGGGCCCACGGCAGGCAGGGGCTGCTGCAGCTGGCCAGAGCAGCCCCTGTCCGTGGCAGGCTTGTCCCTCCCACTGCAGGTAGGAGGCCTCCCCTTCCTTTTAATCGGTTAACTGGTTAAACGTAATGCTTAACCAGTTAACCAATTAAGTAGGATTTTACATCTCTAAACTGTCCCTGCCATCACACCCATCCCTTTCCATTTGAAGAGAAATAATCACATTCCAAACACATCCCATTGTCAGGGCACAACCAAACCCATGCTTTAAGTTAAAGCAAAGGGGAAGTTGCATACCAAATGTGGTGGCCCTAGCTCTTACTGTTTAGGAATTTTTGAACAGACTCACAGGCAGACAGATAGATGCACAAACTCTCTCAAATATATAGTAGATTCTGGTTTTAGTTCCACTGGATCAAGATAGTTTAAATTTTTAGGAACATTTTGGAGGCTAAGCCAGTATTGTTCTTCAGGATTTCAGCCCCATAACCTGAATTGGCAGGTAGAGAATATGAGAACATGAGAATGGCCATACTAGGTCAGACCAAAGCAGAGAAGCAACTGAAAGGATGGTTGGCTGCCAATGCAGAGTAGCTGCTCTGGCGCATGCTGGCTGCCCCACATGTACAGCCTACTGAAGGCATAGTAATTCTCCAACTAGAGGCACAGTGGTGCCCTAAACACCTATGGGCATATCAAAGAATCTCAGTTACTGCACCAGGTGAGTAACCTTCTCTTTCTTTCCTTAGGGTGACTTATAACAACTGTTCCTCTGGTATTTGTTACACTGCTTCCCTTTTTTTGTGTACCAGATCCTACAAATGTTGTTTAAGTTTTAACAAAGATGGTTTTTAATATAATGTTTTAGTCATTTTAAAAATGTCCTATCAGATTGCACAGTGACCTAAGCCCATTGGCAGAGTCACTGTATTCACTGATTCATAATTTTGTTTGTAAAAGTTACAAATGTAAACAATAGATAAACCAATACCTTGACATTAGTCATTCTTGTTTCTATAAAGTGCATTGCTGTAGTTCTCTTTGAATGATGCTTTAAATGTTTCCAAGGATTATTTAGGAGAGAGGCCAGTATTTTCCAAGTGTGGGCCTTCTTTTATAGGGATGCTAAACTGTTAACTGGTAAGTCAATATGCTTACTTTTCACCAACCTTTGGCATTGAACTCCAGTGGTGGCCAGCCATGCAGGAACATCTCATCCCTGCCTGCAGAGGGGCCAGCAGTTTGGGTAATAGGATACTCACAGCCATAGTGGGGGCAAGTGGCAGGAGCTGAGTCAAAACGGTTAACTGGTTAAGTGCTATTGTTTAACCAGTTAATCATTTTAACTTCCATACTCTCTGAGGAAAGGGGAACTAGGTTAGTCTGCAGGAACAGTAGGGGAAAGCTGTGTGACACAAGCTCAGCCGCACATGATTCTATAAACATGCTGTTGCAATAGTGGATAGAACAGCTAAAAATTCCTTAAGAGATGCCACCTTCCCTCCCTACTAGTACTGCAGCTCAAAATGCAAGGGAAAAACTCTCTGGCTATTTTCCCTTTGGATCTTCATATTTAAGGCTATGTCTACACTACAGGCTTCTCGCGCTAGAAGTTTTTTGCGGAAGAGATCTTCTGCAAAAACTTCTTGTGCAAGAGAGTACCCACACTGCAAAAGTGCATCAAAAAAGCGATCCACATTTGCACAAGAAAGCGTCCAGACTGCATGGACGCTCTCTCAAAAGAAAGGGCTGATAGCTATTCACAGAATGGCCACCAGGGCAGCCTGTGCTGTGCTGTATCACTGAGAAGCAATAAAACCTTCTATTCTACTGCCTGGCAGAGAGACACATCTGGCTGCAGATGAGGGTGCAGGGTTGGTGGCCTCTGACACGCCGTCACACAGGAGTAATGCATAATGGTTAGAGAAGGAATCGGTAGTGAGGCATCTAAACCAAGCATCAAGGCTGGAGACTAGGCACCAGAGCCAAGGTTCAGAGACAGAGTCAGGAATTACAGTGTCACAATTGGGTGACGTTGGAGGCAAGGCAAGAACTGCTATCACAGCTGTGGACAAATGCTTTGACCAGCCACTGAATGGGAGCTGCTGCTGGATTTAAGAGTAGATCTGCGGGTCTTTCAGCCAATTAAGCAGTGTACTGCATACCAGCTTGTTCAATGGGTTGCCAGAGCCCAGCAATTCTGAAGGTCTTGCTTCCAGACTAGATCTGGAACAGGCCCTGATTTCAGAGTGTCAGAAGTCAAGAAGTTGCATCTCCTTAGTTTTGGAAAAGTTGCCTGACCAATTAAGTAAGAGTAGCAGTGAAGTCTTTTAACTAGGTCCCTCTGTGAGTACACCTACTTTTTAAAAAAACAGTGGGTACGTCTAGACTGGCAAGCAAAAGCAGCTGCTTTTGTGCAAAAACTTGCCACCTGTCTACACTGGCCGCGAGGTCAGAAGTCAAGAAGTTGCATCTCCTTAGTTTTGGAAAAGTTGCCTGACCAATTAAGTAAGAGTAGCAGTGAAGTCTTTTAACTAGGTCCCTCTGTGAGTACACCTACTTTTTAAAAAAACAGTGGGTACGTCTAGACTGGCAAGCAAAAGCAGCTGCTTTTGTGCAAAAACTTGCCACCTGTCTACACTGGCCGCGAGAATTTGCGCAAGAACACTGACTTTGTAAAGTACAAAATCAGTGCTTCTTGCACAAATACTTTGATGCTCCCGCTCAGGCATAAGCCCTCTTGCGCAAGAATACTTGTGGAAGAGGGCCAGTGTAGACAGGAACGTTAATTTCTTACGCAAGAAAGCCCAATGGCTAAAATGGCCATTGGAGCTTTCTTGCGCAAGAGAGTGTCTATACTGGGCATGGATGCTTTTGTGCAAAGGCACATGCCAGTATAAATGCTCTCTTGCACAAATACTTTTAACGGAAAAGTTTTTCCGTTAAAAGTATTTGTGCAAGAGAGCATTTATACTGGCATGTGCCTTTGCACAAAAGCATCCATACTGCAGATGTAACTGTCATTGCAATTTGTCAAGTGTTCATGTGCTCCATGCCGCAATATATGCCCATTTCTTGATCTGCCATAACAGTAGCAGCTCTTGAACACAGAGAAAAAGGTAAATCTACAAAAGGTGCAGGACGTGAGGCAAAGGCAGCATGGCTCCTCTCCGCTGCTTTTGCACTGTACATTTAGGAGGTCATGCTTTCTTCTCTCTATGTGACCAGGAAAACTTCATGCCCTCACCTGAGATGACATTTTGGGAACTAAACAAACTGCAATAAAGAGCCAGACGAATACCCAGAAACCATCTACTTCAAGACAGACCTAAGAAAACCAACAATAGAACACCACTTGTCATCACCTACAGCCCCCAACTTAAACCTGTCCAACACATTATCAAGAAACTACAGCCTATACTGGAACAGGATACTAAACTCTGAGAGGCTCTGGGAGACAGACCCATAGTCTCCTATAGACAACCACCTAACCTCAAGATGATTCTTACCAATCACCACAGGACCACACTAATACCAACCCTGGTACCTTCCCTTGCAACAAACCCCGTTGTCAGCTTTGTCCACATATTCACTCTGCTGGTACCATTATTGGACCCAACCAAGTGAGTTATAAGATCAAGAACACATATTCCAGCGCATCCAGAAATATAATTTATGCAATTATGTGCCGAAAGTGTCCGTCCGCTATGTACATTGGACAAACATCTCAGAAACTTCACCAAAGGATCAATGCCCACAAAACAGATTTCAGACAGGATCACAAAGAAAAAACAGTTTCTTGCCATTTCAACCAGAAAGGACATTGTTTCAACGACTTGATTACCCGCATCCTGCTTCAGACCTTTTAAGACTTCACTTCAAAGAGAATCCTCTGAACTGTTAGTCTTTAAAGTGCTACACAGTCCTGTTTTTTGTTTCAGCTGCAATTTACTGGGGGGTTTTTCCCCCCAAGTAAATCTTCCTCTTCCCCAGGTTTGTCTGCAGGACAGCATAATGTACTTAATGGAATCACAATGCATAAGTGTACTTTAGGGGAGAACGATGTTTCTTTATCACATTCTAGTCGTTACAAAAATCAAAAGGGATGATGTCAGAAATTCCTGTCATTCTATAAATGGGGTTTATATGAATATGAACTAAAGAAATAAATATAAATTAATTGTAGTGAGTCAGAAATGACTTGCCCTCCTGCCCCCCCAAAAAATCTATAAAATCTAATTATATAAAACTTGGTTTTACAGGTGTATTGAAAACTATACAGGAGCCCGTTGTGAAGAAGTTTTGCTTCCTAGTTTCAAGACCCAAATTAAAAGTGAACTGTTTGCAGCTTTCTTGGCTTCCGTTGTTGTTCTAGGACTTCTTGTAATTGGAGCATTCTACTTCCTTTGCAGGTAAAATGACGTCAGAGTACTGAAGCTAGTCAATCAAATAGAAATGTATTTTCAGATAATCATATACTAATTATTTTAATTTAAAATTATTATGTAATTAATTATAAATTAGATATGCTTGATTATTCAGCAAAATTAATGGACCTTCTTGCTTTTAGTTTCTAGCTTTTTGCTTTTATTTTCTGGTTTGTAGTTCTCTAGAATGCCTTTTTCAGCTTTGTCAGCTATAGTCACTTTACTAAAGCTTGTTATGACACAGTTAGTTTCCTATCATAGTTAAAAGCATATCCAAGATCAGAGAGTATCACACACTAAGATATAACTCACTTCACATTGCTAAAAGCTTCAGCGGGGTAGCTGAGTTAGTTAGTATCTGGAAAAACTTAAAAAACAACAAATAGTCTAGCAGCACCTACCCAATTAACAAAACAGGTAGATGGTTATCGTGAGGTTTTGTGGGCACAACCCACTTCTTCAGATGACAAAATGGGTTATGCCCACGAAAGCTCATGATACCATCTACATGTTTTATAGTGGTAGAAATGTAGCCATGTTAGTCTGGTGCAGCTGAAACAAAAAACAGGACTGTGTAGCACTTTAAAGACTAACAGTTCAGAGGATTCTCTTTGAAGTGAAGTCTTAAAAGGTCTGAAGCAGGATGCGGGTAATCAAGTCGTTGAAACAATGTCCTTTCTGGTTGAAATGGCAAGAAACTGTTTTTTCTTTGTGATCCTGTCTGATATCTGTTTTGTGGGCATTGATCCTTTGGTGAAGTTTCTGAGATGTTTGTCCAATGTACATAGCGGACGGACACTTTCGGCACATAATTGCATAAATTATATTTCTGGATGCGCTGGAATATGTGTTCTTGATCTTATAACTCACTTGGTTGGGTCCAATAATGGTACCAGCAGAGTGAATATGTGGACAAAGCTGACAACGGGGTTTGTTGCAAGGGAAGGTACCAGGGTTGGTATTAGTGTGGTCCTGTGGTGATTGGTAAGAATCATCTTGAGGTTAGGTGGTTGTCTATAGGAGACTATGGGTCTGTCTCCCAGAGCCTCTCAGAGTTTAGTATCCTGTTCCAGTATAGGCTGTAGTTTCTTGATAATGTGTTGGACAGGTTTAAGTTGGGGGCTGTAGGTGATGACAAGTGGTGTTCTATTGTTGGTTTTCTTCCGGGAATGCACAGCCAGTATTTAGGCACGGGGCCTAGTCTATTTTCCTCTCACACAATTCCTTCAACAGAAAACAGGACTATGTAGCACTTTAAAGACTAACAAGATGGTTTAATAGGTGATGAGCTTTCGTGGGCCAGACCCACTTCCTCAGATCAAATAGTGGAAGAAAATTGTCACAACCATATATACCAAAGCATACAATTACAAAAAATGAACACATATGAAAAGGACAAATAGCTTCCCCAATTATCACCTCTAATATCATTAGCTCACAGACATTTACCTCCACCCGCTTTCTCCCTCCTCCTTCCCCCTTCTGTTCTGAAATTTGATTTGTCTTTTTCATATGTGTTCATTTTTTTGGTTGTGACAATTTTCTTCCACTATTTGATCTGAGGAAGTGGGTCTGGCCCACGAAAGCTCATCACCTATTAAACCATCTTGTTAGTCTTTAAAGTGCTACACAGTCCTGTTTTTTGTTTCATCTAAATGTTTTGTTAGTGTTTAAAGTGCTGCTAGAACATTCATTGTTTTTACATTGCCAGTTTGCAAAAAAGTAGAGGTAGAAGCCAATCAAGTGCAGTGCTAAGAAATCAGAATACTGAGGCTAAAATTTTCAAAAACTTTGCATTTATTATATAGGATCCTCCATCCCATTGAAAGTCAACAAAAGGTACTTTTGAGAATTTTACTCTTCAACTGTAAAACTCCTTCTGTGCTAGGAACGGGGATAGTCGAGCTATTCTACTGAGTCAACTTAACAGCCACCCAGAGGGCATGTCTACACTAGGAAATAATTTTGAAATAAGTAAAATTGAAATAATAACTCCCGAAATAACAAAATTGAAATAAAATGGTGTGTCCACACTGTGGGGCAGCATTGAAAAAGCTCTGAATTATTTCAAAATAGTGCATCCACACTGATTGGAGCCTGCCTCAGATTTAGCGCCCCCAGAAGCACTCTGGGGAGGGCACCAGAAGGCTGGATACTTCCTCTGGCTGCTTTGTCAGGCAAGCTGTCATGTGCTTTTAAGGGCTCCTCTCTATGGCTGTGAATCACATGCTATTCCTCCTCTCCATCACTGTACTTGACTGGGAGTGGACGCTACCCAAGTGTGGGCATGACCTTGTGCCATGTGCGGCACTTCTGTGTGTTTCCATGACCCCAGACTCGTTAGTGGTGGCTTGTAATGGGAAGGTGTCACATCACAGAGGCTGGAATAAAGCAAGCCTCTCCAGGAACTTTGTGAGAAGGACTGAGGGGTTCCTATGTGAGAGCACCATGAGGCTGAGTGCTCTGTACTGGCACTCCATGTGCAACCATATGCACAGGCTGTTGTGCAACCTCCAGGCTGAATAGGCTGAGCAGTGGTGGCCCATCAATAAAGGCAAAGTAGGCAGTTGCCTAGGGCGCCAAGATAAATGGCCATTGAGGGCTTTGGAGGCGGGGGTGCTGATTGCGTGTTTTGCCTAGGGCACCAGTTGCCAGCAGCTTGTCTAGCGCCACTCCTGAGGCTGAGCAAGGAATTTGCAGCCTGTCACCTGCCCCCGCATGTAGCTAGGGAAAGTTTAGAACTCACCTGAAGTCTCTTCTCTGGGTTTATCTGACACCTGGGAGACATCATGGGAGAAGTCGGGACTGGCTCCAGGGCGAGGAGCAGCTCCTGGCTTGTGGACATGGTTATCTGGATGGCCTGCTCCTGTTCTGCTCCTCCTCCTCCTCCTCCTCCATAGCCCTGCCCCCATGGAGGCTGATGCTGCGCATGTCCTGGCCAGAGTTGATGATGATGGGGGGAGTTGACTGGCCCCCCTCCAGGATGACATTGAGCAGGTTGTAGTAGCAGCACATGTGAGGTGCCACCCCAGAGCATCCACTCTGCTCCATGGTCTTATTGAAAGCCTGCCAGAACTTTATTTTTATGCAGACCTGGTCAAGGGGTCTGTGTGTGTCCTTTTTCAGACAGGCTGGCAGCCATCTGACTGTAGACATCGACATTCCTTTTTCTGGTGTGGAGATCCTGGAGGTTGGGCTCCTCGCCCCAGACCTTGATGAGATCCAGAATCTCCACACCAGTCCAGGGTGGTGCTCTGTTGGATTCATCAAGGGCAAGTCATGCCTGAACAATCTGATTAACTTCTATGATAAGGTAACTGGCTCTGTGGATATGGGGAAGTCAGTGGATGTGATATACCTTGACTTTAGCAAGGCTTTTGATACAGTCTCCCACAATATTCTTGCCAGCAAGTTAAGGGAATGTGGATTGGATAAATGAACTGTTAGATGGACAGATAGCTGGCTAGAATGTTGGGCCCAACGGGTAGTGATCAACAGCTCAATGTCAGGTTGGCGGTTGGTTTCTAACGAGTGCCCCAAGTATCAATTCTAGAACTGGTTTTGTTCAACATCTTTATTAATCATCTGATGAGGGGATGGATTGCACCCTCAGCAAGTTTGCGGATGACACTTAGCTAGGGGGAGAGGTAGATACGCTGGAGGGCAGGGATAGGGTCCAGAGTGACCTAGACAGATTAGAGGATTGGGCCAAAAGAAATCTGATGAGGTTCAACAAGGACAAGTGTAGAGTCGCTTCACTTTGGACGGAAGAATCCCAAAGCATTGTTACAGGCTGGGGACTGACTGGCTAAGTACCAGTTCTGCAGAAAAGGACCTGGGGATTACAGTGGATGAGAAGCTGTGTGCCCTTGTAGCCAAGAAGGCTAATGGCATATTAGGTTGCGTTAGGAGGAGCATTGCCAGCAGATCTAGAGAAATGATTATTCCCTTTATTTGGCTCTGGTGAGGCCACACCTGGAATATTTCGGTGGCACCTTATAGACTAACAGATTTATTGGAGCATAAGCTTTCGTGGGCAAAGACCCACTTCATCAGATACATGTAGTAGAAATTCCTGAGGCAGGTATAAATATGCAGGCCAGAATCAGGCTGGAGATGACGAGGTGGATCCAATCAAGGAGGATGAGGCCCACTTCTAGCAGCTGATCTGGAGTTGTGAATTCCAAGAGAGCAGAAGCTGCTTTTGTAGTTAGCAAGCCATTCACAGTCTTTGTTTAATCCAGAGCTGATTGTGTCAAACTTGAAGATGAACTGTAGCTCAGCTGTTTCTCTTTGAAGTCTGGTCCTGAAGTTTTTTTGCTGCAGGATGGCTACCTTTAGATTCTATAAAGCTCTGCCAGTGTAGCTGGCAAGTATGGCCAGAGCAGCCACAGGTGCAGCTGTGAAAGGCCTCTGGAGGACAATTATTTCAAATTAGCAGAATTTGTGTAGCATCCACACAAATGCTATTTCAAAATGACAATTTTGAAATAAGCATTATTCGTTGAGAAAAGCAGGAATACAGATTTTGAAATAACCAGCCTGTTATTTTGAAATAACGGGCTTGGAACTGTGGACACTCCACTTGCAATTTCAAAATAAGGGGGTATAGGGTTAGCTTCAACGCAGGAGCAGTAAAGCAAAGACAAAGGAATCTGAGGAGAACAATCTTAGAAATAGGCAAGTTCACGTTTAAGTTTGTTATCTCTGTAAGGGTGTGCCTAGACTACATGCCTCTGTCGACGGAGGCATGTAGATTAGACTGAAGCTGCGATTTAAATAATCGCGGCTTCATTTAAATTAAAATGGCTGCCACGCTTTGCCGACCAGCTGATGATCAGGTGTTTGTCGGCAGATCAGAGCAGTCTGGACGCGCCACGGTCGACAAAGAAGCCTTTGTCAATCGGCGCAGGTATGCCTCGTGAAACCAGGTTTACCTGCGCCGATCGACAAAGCCTTCCTTGTCGACAGCGGCGCGTCCAGAC